TTCTGGTGGTCTCTAATAAATGCTCAATCAAGTCAGAGCATCGCAAGGCGCGAGGGCATGGTAAGGAGCCTGGATTTTAGTCCACGGTTGGGAAGCCACGGTGGGACACGCCGGAGAGACTTACCGGATTCAAGCTTCTCTGGCAAGAATGGACCAGGCCCTCCCCAGTGCCGGGCTCCTACCTTCCAGGTCCACCCCGTGGCGCTGGGCCAGATGGAGAACATTGTCCCCGACTCTGCCGCTCACCGGGATCCGCTGCCCTGAGCGGTCCACGAACACCACGTTCACCCTGGGGACAGACCGGGGTGCGGATGTCCAGTCGGGTCACGGGCCCGGGGTCCGCGTGACGTCGAGAGTTCGGAGGTCGCGGCTGGGGTGGGACGCACAGGGGGATGGGGCGGTACAGAGGAGGGACCCCGCAATGAGGCTGCGGGGCGACGTGGGAACCGGGCCCTGGGGTCCCCCGCACTCACACGTCCCCGGGCCGCTCGGGGCCGCCCGGTGGCCGCGAGCCTGGAACACACGGTTGGGTGAGCGGCGGCGACAGCGCCCCGCCGGGCTTACGCTGCCCGCCCCGGGCGCCCCAGGTACCTGTCACCCGAAACCTCCTGGTCGTCGCGGGCACCGCTGCCTCCCCGGACCCCGAACAGCTCCCGGGTTTGCTCCACCAGGCGCCCCTGGCCGCCCGTAGTAAGACCCCGGCACTCACGCCTCCCCGGGCCACGGAGGCGGCCATGACAGGCGTCACGTGACGCGGCTACCGCGCATGCGCCGGGCAGCGAGAACGAGCGGCGCGCCGTAGTTGCCCGAAGAAAGCGCCCACCCGTAAGGCCACGCTGGGACCGGCGCCGTCGCACGGAAACCCCACCAGGCGCCCCTGGCCGCCCGTAGTAAGACCCCGGCACTCACGCCTCCCCGGGCCACGGAGGCGGCCATGACAGGCGTCACGTGACGCGGCTACCGCGCATGCGCCGGGCAGCGAGAACGAGCGGCGCGCCGTAGTTGCCCGAAGAAAGCGCCCACCCGTAAGGCCACGCTGGGACCGGCGCCGTCGCACGGAAACCCGTGGAGTCATCCTGGCTTCCCCCCCCCGCACCCCGGTTTGTCCCAAGAACCAGCCAGCGGTCATTTCTTTAAAACCATTTACTTACAAACTTTAATTCAGCAAAGGTTTGTGTGGGAAGATTGGGGAGAGGACATCCCCCTGGAGTGGATGTGGGCCCCCCCCCAGGGTCAGGGGAGGGAAGCTGGTGGCCCAGCCGGTGAGGACAGGGCCCAGGGTCACATTGGGCTGACAGGTCCTACTGGTGGGACAGAGGTTATTTGCAGGGAGCTGGTTTTTGACATTGAACCAAAGGGAGACCCGCTCAGGGTGGTCTGGCCTCAGGATGGAGGGGGACACAGCAGAGACGGGCTGAGATGGGCCAGGAGGCCCGACCCCCACACAGACAGCAGGGCACTGTTGAAGCGGGCAGGGAAAGCCCCTCTCTGCACCCGGGCCGGGCAGTAGGGGTGCTGGGGTTGGTTTGCCGAGACCAAGGCTTTGGCCTTCCACTGTCCCCAGGGTGGGGACCCTGGACACAGGGGCCGATCCCTAGGCCAGAGCTGTTTGGTCCTGAGTCAAGCCCCTGGAGCTCGGCAGATGAGAGGCTCTGGCCAGTGGGGCCTGGGGCCCAGCTTTAAGGCATCAGAAGGCAGGGGGACTGTGGTGGGGCAGTGGGGACCAGGGGCTGGGCACAGGCCAGGGTGGGCAGGCAGGACAGGAGACAGCCAGGCCTGCAGACGCAGGACGAGGCCAAAGGGCCGAGCTGTTTCAAACTGGTAATTGTGGAATGGCGACCCCAACCGGCAGGACCTTGAAGGAATCAGAGCAGGGGGTCGTCCTGAATGGTTTAAAAATAATAAAAATTAGAAACGAAAATAAAAGTCAGTTGTCAAGAGTTAAAAAAAGGGGGACAGTCTCTGATCCTCGCGGGAGGTCAGGGAAACCTCCAAGGCACTCGAAAGGCCAAAATATAGGAGTGACGAGGGAGGGGCAGACTCCCAGAGAGACAGCACAGGCAGAAGACGGGAGGCGGGGGAGGGGGGGCCGGGCCCCTCTCTCTTAAGGCTGCAGGGTTTTGGCGCCGCGAGCTGGCCAGAGGTGCAGTGTGGCCCCCAGATTCTGCCCCTCCTCCCCCATGCTCCTTAGGTCCTGGGGCTCCGGCTGGTTGGTCAGCAAAGTCTTTCAGAGATTTTTCTATTAATAAATTAATCTATTTATTCATCGTGATTTTCAAGCCACCAAGTCCAGGACTTGAACCATAGTCAGCCACACAGGAATCCAGCACCCTAACCACCACACCACCTGCTACCAAAGGAAAGAAAATTAAAAAAAAAAAAAAAAAGAAAAAAAAACAAAAAACACAAAACAAAAACACCAGAAACTAAAAGCGATGTGGTGCAGGCCCTTGAGCCGTCTCTGGTGCCAGCCCTAGAAAATCCTCTTCCGCTTCAGGTAGGAGTCTGCGTAGTGGCCACCCAGGCCCTGGGAGTGCTGGCCCACGTAGCTGCCTTCGGGGCTGGGCTCGGGGGAGGGCAGCAGGTGGGCAAAGCTGCGTTTCTGGCCGCCCAGTGGGGTCTGGAGACAGAAGGCAGGGGAGGGTGGGTCAAGGGCCGCCCACGGGCCAGGCCGCCCCAGCCCTGCGCGTCCCCCCACCCCACCTGTACCTTCAGCAGGTGGCTGTGGCCGTTGGGCCCAGGGCCCAGGCCCAGAAGCCCTTCTCCAGGGCCCAGTGGGGAGGAGCCGACTGCCTGGAGGAATGTGAGAGGGATGGGAGGGGTCATGCCCTGGGGCTGAGGACAGGAGGGTTTCAAGTTCAAGTCTTACTTGTGTGGTGGGGTGGCACACTGGTGACACACCTGGACCCACACGGGAAGGTCCTGGGACAGCCCTGAGCACACAGGCACGCAGGTGATCCAGGCTAATGCTGGGGGCGGGTGGCAGTGTGACCCGTGAAGGTGTCTGTCACCCTCTCACAGAAAAAGTGAACTTGAGGGACCAGCAGGTGGCGTGATGGCTATGTCGCTGGACTACCATGTAGTTGACCACAGTCTGAGTCCCAGATCCGGTGGCTTAAACTCACACTGGGCGTGCCTGCCCAAGATCCCGAGAGGAGAATGGAGAAGGGATTGCTGCGGGGCCGTCCCCCATGAGGGGTGATTTCTCACTTTCTGTCTGTCTGTCTGTCTCTGTCTTTCTGGCAAGCACACATGCCCTATAGCAAAAAAACAAACAAAAAACCCTCTCCAGAAAAAGTGAACTCGAGATAAAACAATCAGATGGCTGGGGCTGGCAAGTAGTGTGGTGGTTAATTATGGTTAATTAAGGGCACTGAACTTCCACATGTGGTTCGAGTCCCAGACCTGGCAACTTGCTTTCTCACTCCCCCCCCATCTCTGGCTTTTTTTTTTTTTTTGAGGTTTTTACTATAGGGCACATGTGCTTGCCAGAAAAACAGAGAGAGACAGAGAGTGAGAAATCACCCCCCAGGGGGGATGGCCACACCGCAATCCCTTCTCCTCCATTCTCCACACACGCACATGCACCCAACCTGAGTTTAAGCCACAGAGTCCGGGACTCAAACCACGGTCAATTACATGGGAGTCCAGCGACATAGCCATTACGCCAACTGCTGGTCCCTGCTCTGATCAAATTAAAATAAATGATTATTTAAAAAAAAAAAAGAAAGAAAAGAACCAGATGGTGCAGCGGTAAAACGGTGCTGCCTCCACAAGGCTGGCCCATGCGGGAGGGCAGGCTGGCCTGGGCAGGAGGGCAGGGCTGTGACTCCCTGCAAGGCTGGCCTGGGCGGGAGGGCAGGGCGTGCTCCTGCAGACCACTGACTGCCATCCAGGCCTAGAGGAGGCTGGGGCGGGTGGCGACATCAGGGACCTGCTGGGGTGCTGTCTCTTGCTCATGGAAGAACTCTGTCACTGGACCTCATCCCCTGAGACCCTGGGCTGCCAGGAGGACTAAGGAAGTCCGGGGGTGCAGCAGCGGCAGGTGCTGCACTCGGCGCTGGAGGGAGGGACCCCGGCCCGGGAGGGAGGCTCCTCACCTTGTTGAGGTGGCTCTGCTTGAGGCCGGCCTGCAGGCCGCTGGCGAAGTAGGACGTGGGCGAGCCCGAGTAGAAGTGGGAGAGGGGCCCCCCGCCGCCCCGTTCACCGAAGCCACTGGGCGGGGGGGACATCTGCGGAGAGCGGGCGGCTGAGCAAAGCAGACAGGTAGTACCCACCCTCTGCTCAGTGTCCCCCTCTGAGCTCTGCTGTCACCAGCTCTGGCCAAGGGCCTGAAGCGAGGACCTGCCACGGCGCCTGCCCAGGCTCTTCCTCCGGGGAGTGGGAAGGCGCTCCACGTTGGGAGCCCGCTGGAAGTTCCAGCAGTGGGGTGAAGCCGCAGGGGACCAGTGAGCCCCAGGCGAGAACTACCCTCCCCCAGCAGAATGGGCCACTGCCACATCACCATGCAGGCCCCAACAGCGTCCGGACCCCGCGGGGCTGACCTTGTGTCGGCTGGGGCCCTGGGGCCCAAGGGCTGGCTCCCGAGGGTGGGGGAAGAAGCGCCGCGCTCCCATGTCCTGAAAAGCAGGGGACACGCCGGTGGGTCAGGACTCACACTTGGCAAAGGCTCCGTAAGGCTGGCAGCGGGCACCTCCGCCCTCCCACTGGGCTGCAGGGGGGCATCCCGGCCCAGGGGCAGGGAAGCAGGCAGGGAGCGTGGAAGGGCCCAGTCTCCAGGGACAGAGCCTGACATCAGAGCGGCCGAGAGAAACACCAGGCAGGAGGCCGGGCTGATGGACGCGGGGAACGGCGTGCAGGTCAAGGAATGGACAGGGTGGGAAGTGGGTCTGACCAGGGCCGCAGGCAGGGACGGGGCCGCCAGAGTTAGGGAAAGCCCCGGGGAGCAGCGACCGAGGGGTAGTCGAAGCCGTAGCTGTCGGGCAGCCCTGGGTCGGGGGGCAGGCGGGAGCTGGCGAGGGGGCTCAGGAGGCGTGACTTGAGCGGGAAGGCCTTGTTGCCGCCACCACCTCCACCAGGGGCTGGGGGGTGATGCAGGGGGCCCTCTGGGGGGCGGCGGCTTCTTCCAGGGCCGCCCCAGCCCCGGGCCTCCTTACCCGCCAGGCTGCTGGCGGGGAGCAGGCTCTGCAGGTTCAGGTACGGATTCAGGGGGATCCGGTAGTCCTTGGGGGGCTCCCCCAGCAGCGAGGCCTGTGGCAGGAGGGCTGCATTGGCGAGGGCCGGCAGAGGGCAGGAGGCTGGCAGGGGTGGGAGCGGGCAGGCCTTACCCCAGAGGATGTGGGCAGAGGCCCGCTGTCTTTCTGGTGCCCTCGGAGGCCAGCGCCTCGGAGCCCCATGGGGGCAGGGGGTGGGGTGAGCTGGGCTGACGGAGGCCCCAGGCCCATGGCCTCCCGGTCACCCCCCGAGGGGCCGAGCAGTGGCGGCAGCAGGGGAGGTGGCTTCCCTCGCCGGGGCGGTAGCTCCGGGGGCAGACCCCCCCCTGCGGAGAGAAGGAAGACGTTAAGGCTCCACTGCCAGGGCCCTGTGGCCTCCACCTGGGCCAGGGTCCAGTGGCCAAGGGGCCCCCTGCGTGCGCAGCCACGGAACAAGGCCCTTGGTGGGACCAGCTCCTGGCCTGCTCATGGCCGTCCCAGAGGTGAGGACGCGGAGTCTCAGAGGGGCTGACACCCGCCTAGAGGCACACGGCTGGGAAGGGGTGGGGTGGGCGGTGGTACCTGCAGACAGCTCCCCGAGGAGCGGGTTGGCCGGCTGGGCCCCAGGCTGTAGGGGGCCTAGCGGTGAGTCTCCCAGGATCCCGGGCTTCTAGGGACAGAGCAAAATCCATTGGAGGTGGGGATGGGGTGGCCCGGGCAGCAGGCAGGTCGCAGCCGGTCCCAGGTCCCCAGAGGCTCTCCTGTGTGCCAGCCCTGCACTGTCACCACAGTCCGCGGTGTCTCAGGCTGCTGTCCAGCACAGCCCCTTGCTGACTATCACAGAGCACGATGCCCTCGACACGGCACTGAATGGCCACGGGGCACGTGACAGCCACACAGGGCACGCTGTCGGCTACCGTCACACACGCCACGTCACTGCCGAGGCCCAGAGAACCACGCCAGACGAGGCAGGCCCTGTGTGGATCTGTGGGTGTCCGAGTCCGCATGTGTGTCCATGTACGTGTCTCAGCGTGAGCCTCTGCTCATGTCTGTGTCTGTGTCGATCTGTGTGTGTGTGGGCCTCTGTGCACCTGAGTCCACGTGTGTCCATGTACGTGTCTCAGCGTGAGCCTCTGCTCATGTCTGTGTCTGTGTCGATCTGTGTGTGTGTGGGCCTCTGTGCACCTGAGTCCACGTGTGTCCATGTACGTGTCTCAGCGTGAGCCTATGTGCAGGTGTGTGTGTATGCCGGAGTCAGTGCACATTTGTGGGTGAGTGTGTTTTGGCACGTGTGGATCTGCAGGTTAAGTCTGTGTATGTCTGTGCACGTGGGAGTCTATGTGTGTCAAGTGGGACCTGGACCCCCTCCCCGAGGGCCACAGTGGGTGGCAGGAGTCCTTCCAGGCCACGCCCAGTCTCTGGCTGTGATTGGTTGCTCAGGTCTGCACCCTGAGGGTTGGAGGGGGTGAGTCGGCCTCACCTAGTCCGGGACCCCAGGGACAAGGCAGATGTCACACAGCCCTAGCGACAGCTGGCAGGCTAGGGGCAGTGGAGGCGGGTGGGCGCGGGGCAGAGCCCAGCCTGTTACCTTCTGGCCCTGGTTCTGCAGGGCAAGCTGCAGCAGCGCCGATGACAGGGCAGGCCCATTGAGCAGCGGCATGGCCGGTGGGGCCCCCAGGAGACCTGAGAGATGCAGGAGGTGGGCGCTGGGCCATGGAGGGAGGCCCCCCCGGCCCCCCACCCCCAGAAACACAGCCCTAAGCCTTGATGGAGCAGCAAACAAGCTCTTGGGCTGGCAGGGCCGGCCCAGAAGAGGCAGCGGGAAGGACGCTTCGGTGAAGGACAGTGCCCTCCTCCCACCTCCACCTCACTGAGGGCGGCTCTGCTCTGGGAGGGCTCGGGGCACCGACTGGCAGCCCCCCACCTACCATGGACGGAGAGCCCCCCAGCAACCCGGACCTAGGCCCCTGAAGCAGAGCCGAGAACTGAGGGAGTGGGGACAGGCTGGCCTCCTTACCCTGCTTGCCCCCAGCACCGCCCTGCAGCAGGGGGTTGAGCAGCAGCTGCAGGGACGTGGACGGGCCCAGGTTGCCCAGCAGCTGCAGCAAGTTGGGCTCGGGCAGGAGTCCTTTGCCCCGATTCTGAGCCTGAGGACAGGGAGGGAGGTGCTCAGAGGCCGGGTCATCTGCAGGGAGCCCTGCCGCCCCGCCCCGTCCTGCGTCGCACTCACCGTGGCCTGGGCGGCGATAAGCGCAGCCAGCATGCTGCGGCCGGGGGGGCCGGGGGCGCAGAAGGAGACGCGCAGGTGACTGCCCCCCAGGGCCAGGCCGTCGGCCAGCTCCTGCACCTCCTCCGCCATCTCGGCCGTCTCGTACTCCAGCACGGCGAATCCCTTCAGCTGCCCGTCCTGGCCGCACGCCAGCTGTGCAGGGAGCCAGTGTGAGCACCGGTCGCAGGGCGGCCCTCGGGGAGGGCGGCCTCCACACCGCAGCAGCCCGAGCCGTGCTCCAGCATCGGCTCAGCAGTGGCCCTGCAGGCTATGTCAGGCCGGCGTGACAGAGGAGGCGACTGAGGCAGAGGACAGAGCACACCGGGGGCCACACGAGAGGGGGGATGATGACACCTGAAGCGGGCCACACAGGTCAGCTCTCTGGGCCTCAGCCAAGGCCACTCGTGGAGGACTGAGTACCGAGTACCCGAAAGCGCAAGGCAGAGGCCGTGGCCCTGGGGCTGGCCTCCGAGCCTGCTGGTCGCAGGTGGGAGGTCACACAGTGAGTGACAGCAGAGTTAAGTCACAGCCAGGCCAGGCAGGTCTCTCCACCTCCGTGACACCCACCACTTGGCTCCTCTGGCCCACTGACCTTTATCCAGAGTCCTAGAGCCAGATGTGTTCCAGGCCTGCAAGTCCTTAGACTAAAAGATAGCAAGCAACGGGGGACCTCCTAGCAGCACGGTGGTTAAGGCAGTGCATCCCGCATGGCGAGTGCGGGTTTAAGTCCCAGACCCGAAAGCTTGGAAAACACACCGGGCACGTGTGCATGCGTGCCCCACATCCCGAGAATGAAGGGACTGTGCGTGGCCAGCCCTCTGGGGGTGATTTCTCTTTCCCAAGCAGTAAAACCTGATGCTCTGCAAGGCTGACCCACATGGGAAGGTTCCAGGTTTGCGTCCCGAGACCTCCTGGAACACCCTGGGCACGTGTGTGCCTACGATCCAGGGCTGGCCAAAGCCGGGGGTGGATCGCGGCATAAAGAGCATCAGGGGTGCTGTCCCTCTCTCTGTTCTCTCTCCAGAAAGAAGTAAATAAATAAGGAAATTAAAAATTTGCGGCCAGCAGGTGGCATAGTGGTTAAGGCGCTAGAATCCCACATGGCCGATGGCAGTTTGAGTCCCAGACCTGGCGGCTTGAAATTCATGCCAGGTGTGTGGGTATGCGTGTCCAAAATCCTGAGAGGAGAACGGAGAAGGGACTGCGGCGTGGTCATTACCCCGGAGAGGTGGTTTCTCACTGTCTCTGTGCGTCTCTGGTGAGCACATGCACCCTCTAATAAAAACCTGTCTTTACAATAAGTAAATAGGGGCCAGTAGGTGGCGTGGTGGTTAGGGTGCTGGAGTCCCACATGGCTGACTATGGTTCAGGCCCTGGAGCTGGCAGCTTGTTTCTCATTCTCCCTCTCTCTCTCTGGCCAAATTGAAGAATGAATGAATGAATGGATTAATGGATAAGTAAACTTAAAGGGCAGAAGCTACACCCTGTATGCTGAGTCTGCGTCACCCCAGCCGGGTCTGGGGCAATTCCCTATACCTCACACTCATCAGCAGCTCAGCAGCAAGACACAGAGAAAGAGGCCACGAATGGCCCACGTGGGTGCAGGCCAGACTGCGCCACACACTTAGAACAAACCTGGTTTTCAGGCATTCTGGGTTCTGGGACTGGGAGTGGTGGGCTGGCCAGAGCTAGCAGATGCCACGAGGACCGCCAGCCTGTCTGGCCTGGCATCGAGGGCCACCTGCACGCTCCCTGGCTGGCTGCCACTGCCCCCCCCCGGGGCGGCCTGCCACTGGCACTGTCCCTGTGTCACAGAGGCAGGGACAGTCAGCCAGCCACCCTACCTTACACATGAGGAAACTGAGGCTCAGAGGTGGGCAACCCTTTGCCCAGGCCACGCTGATGCCCTTCAGGGGACCAGAGGCCTGGATGGCACCACAGCTGCCCCGAGAAGCAACCCCGCCCCTCCGCCCGGGAGATGTACAGGCACCGTCACGCTGGCTGGGGACCCATGTAACGCCTGCCGCAGGACGTGCAGGTCTGTCAGATGGGGTCTGCAGCAATCAGAAAATGGAGGAAGAGCTTCCATCCGAACACAAGAAGGTGCTCAGGACAAAGCCCCTGGAGGAATAATAAACCCAACCAGGCTGGGGCCAAGAGCTGGTGTGGTGGTTCGGGCACTGGACGCCCACATGGCTGACCACAGTTCAAGTCCCGGACCCAGTGGCTAGCTTTTGCACTTTCCCTCTCTGTCTCTTGATCTACAGCAAATTAAAAAATAAGGGACCAGCAAGTGGCATAGTGGTTATGTCGCTGGTCCCCCAACATGCTCAACTACAGTTCAAGGCCCGGATCCAGCAGCTTGAAATTCAAACTGGGTGTGTGTGTGTGCATGCCCAAGATCCCAAGAGGACAATGGAAAGGAAAGCATTGCAGCGTGGACATCCCCCTGGGGGGTGACTTCTGGTTTCCTGTCTGTCACTCTCTGGTAAGTAGCGCATGCCCTATAGCAAAAATCTCTCTCTAAAAAAATAAACAAACAAAATTAAGTAGATAATTTTTTTTGAGAGGTATTTGCTATAGGGCACGTGCGCTCGCCAGAAAGACACAGAGAGACAGAAAGCGAGAAATCACCCCCCAGGGGGGATGGCCACGCTGCAGTCCCTTCTCCTCTCGGGATCCTCGGCATGCACGCACATGTGCCTGGTATGAGTTTAAGCCACCAGGTCCGGGACTCGAACCACAGTCAGTCAACTACATGGGAGACCAGTGAAACAGTTATTACACCAACTGATAAATTTTTTTCATTTAAAAAAAAAAGAAGAAGAATTAAAAGAAAAGCCAGTGATGGGACCAGTGGGTGGTGTGGTGGTTAAGGCGCGCTGGACACTCCCACTTGGCCGACCAAGGTTCAAGTCCCAGACCTGGAGGCTTGCTTTCTCACTTTCTCTCTCTCTCTCTGGTAAAATATAAAAATAAATGAATGAATAAATAAAAAATAAAAAATTATTAAAAATAAAAAGAAGAAAAGCCAATGAAGCTTAGAAGCACCCGCTCCGAGGGGAATGCAGGAACATGCATACGTATCTATCTTATTACTTGCCAAGGCTATGTCTGCTCACGAGAGAGAGAGAGAGAGAGGAGGGAGAGAGCACACCTCGGCGGAGCACGGTCACACCCTTCTCCTCCGCCCCCTGCCCCGTTGGCATTTGGGACATGCACACGCAAGTGGTGTTCCTCAGGACACCAGCTCCGAAATTTAAACTGCAGTCGGCCAGGGGGATCCAGGTCCCTAACCTCACATATACGCACACGGGGACTCGCCACACAATCTCGCGGGATTATAGCAAGACGACACACAAATGAGAGCCGCAGGAGAGGGCGAGGGGCCGGGACGACACTTCTGCCACTGACTTCTCCAGGCGTGCGAGTTCTGAAAGGGGACCTGACTGTCCAGTCACAAAAATAAGTGGAAAAAATGATGTCACAGCTTTTGTTTCAGGGCATGTGTAAATACAGAAGGAAAGTGAGAAATCACCCCTCAGGAGGATGGCCACACCACAATCCCATTCTTCTCTCTGGATGCGGGCAGCCAGATCACACATGGCTAACTGCAGTTCGAATCCCTGCCCTGGCAGCTTTAAAAACACTCCAGCTTTGTGTGCGTGTGTGATCCAAATTCCAACAGGATGGAGAAATGAGGAGGGGATTGCGGGGTCATCATGCCCCACTTGAGGGGGCTTTCTCTCCCTCTCTTTCTTTTTATAAAATTTCATGGGAAAGTTTTTTTTCTTTTCTTTTTTTTTTAAGAGTTATTTTTAAATTTAGTTAATTTCTTTATACATACATACATACCAGAAAGGGACAGAGTGAAAAAGAGAGAGGGAAAGTGAGAAAGCAAGCCACCAGGTCCGGGACTCGAACCTCTGTTGACCAGTGTCCTTAACCACCACACCACCTGCAGTCCGCACGTGCCTTCTGGCCACAGAGAGTTTACTTTCATTAGAGTAAGAGGTAGGGAGAGGGACAGAAAGACACGCCTGCAACACGTGTGGGCCACGCTAAGTCTGGTGTGCGTGGACTGGCTTGGGAACCGAACCCCGTCTTCAGATATGGTGGTGTTTGAGCAGCACGAGGCCGCACAGAGGGGCCCTTCTTCCTTTCTTTTCCTCTCCATCCCTTCCTCTTCCCCTTTCTCTTCCTGTTCCCCTTTTCCTTCCCCTTTCCCAGGTCAACGCAAGGGTGAGGGGCACCCTCCACAGGGTCTCCTTACGCTGCAACCCCCTTCCCCACGCCTGTCAGGACCTTAGGCCTATGGCACACGCACACCTAGGATCTTCCAGGTTGACTGGGCCAGGGACGCAAACCCACGGTCGGCCACGTGGCTTCCAGCATTGCTGTTCCGTAAACTGCCAAGACCACGGGGCCCACATTTTTTCAAGTTTTCACCTATTTATTGGCCAGAGGGTACGTGTATTTGGCAGAAAGAAAAAGAGACAGGGAGAGGGAGAAAATACCTCCAATAGGGCATGATCACGTTGCAACTCCCTCCTTGCGTATTTCTCTACACTGTCAGGATTTAGGGCGTTGGGCGTGGTGGCGCCCGCCCTATGGCAAAAACCTATGGAGGCTGGAGGATTGCAGCATCGAGTCCATCTCTCTCTTTCTCTGTCTCTCTTGAAGATTTAGGGCGTGTACCATATGTGCCAGCATATTCTTTTTTTTTTTAAGGTCGTTGCCATAGGGCATGTATGCTGGCCGAAGAGAGACAGCTATAGGGAAAGTAAGAAATCACACTCAAGAAGGCTGGCCGTGCTGCAATCCCTTCTCTGCTCTCCTCTTGGGATTTGGGGCATGCATGCACAAGTGCCCATTAAGATTTTCAAGCTGCTGGGCCTGGAACTCGAACTGAGGTCAGCCACGCGGGAGTCCAGCCCCTTAACCACCACGCCTCCTGCTGGCCCAAAAAGTTTTAAGAATGTTATTCCCTGGATGAATGAGAAAGACAGAGAGAAAGGGAGAGGCAGAGAGCAACCCCCAGTGGGGGTGTAGTCATGCCACGATCCCTGCACCATTTCTCCATCCTCCAGGATTTAGCCATGCACAAACAGGTGCCCAGGATGTTTTGCAAGCCACTGGGCCTGGATTAAAACTGCGGTTGGCCTTAGGGGATCCAGTTTCCCTTCATCATTAAGCCATGGGTCAGAACTTGAATCATCTTTCTCATTGTTCAATAAAAGCCTGAAATTAGAACTAAAAATAGCTTCTAAATTTCTTTCCTTAAACTAAGAACTTCATATAAGTTGTGCTTTTTTTTTTTTCTTTAAATTTTTGCTATAAGACAGGTGTGATTGCCAGAGACACAAACAGAGAAAGGCAGATGAAGCAAGGGGCCAGCAGGTGGCGTGGTAGTTGAGGGCGCTGGACTCCCACATCCGATCGTGGTTCGAATCCCGGACCTGGTGGCTTGCTTTCTTGCTTTCCCTTTCTTTCACTCTGTTTCTCTCTCTGGCCAAATTAAAATGATACTGCTAATTATAATAACAAATGGAGCTAGATAAGTTAATCTTATAAATCTTAAAAATAAAAAGGAAAGAAAGAAAGGGGGAAAGAAAATAAACAACCCTTGGGGTTGCTTGGCCCTGCCACAACCCCTTATCCTCCACCCCACTTGGGATGCCGGGCACCTATGCACGCTTGCACATGCACCCAGCGTGATTTTGAAGCTCCTGGGTCTGGGACTTGAACTATGAAGTTGGCCATGTGGGATCCAGTGCCTTACTCTCACATTACCTGCTGGCCCCATGAATTGTGTTTTAAAGAAACTGTGAAAGAGTGGTCTAGGGACCAGCAGTTGGCGTAATGACTATCTCACTGGACTCCCATGTAGTCAACCGCAGTTCGAGTTCCGGACCCGGTGGCTTAAACTCACACCGGGCATGTGTGCATGCGTGCTCCAGATCCCGAGAGGAGAATGGATCGTGGCGTGGCCATCCTCCCTGGGGGGTTATTTCTTGCTTTCTATCTCTCTGTCTGTCTCTGTGTGTCTGGCGAGTGCACGTGCCCTATAGCAAAAAAATCTCTCCAAAACAAAAAAAAAAGAGTGGGTCTAGGGGTCCAGCAGGTGGTGTGGTGGTCAGGGCACTGGGCACTTCCACATGGCCAACCATGGTTCAAGTCCCAGACCTGGTGGCTTCCTTTCTTACTTTCTCTCTCTCTCTCTATGTCTCTCTCTGGTCAAATTAAAATAAATGAATTAATAAATAAAATTAAATATATAAGTCTTTAAAAAAAAAGAGTGGGTCTTAAGGGTCGGCTGCCTGACCCTGATGAATCTCAGTGGCTGGCCACCAGGCAGGTTGCAGACGCGCACACCTACCCGTTTCCTCACTGGCAAGACGGTACCCAAAGCAGACCCTCCCTCTCAGGGCTGCCATGAGGACTGAGTAAGAGACTGAACAAGGGCAGGGAAGGCTTCTACCTGGGAGGCCCCAGGAGAGCCAGAGGAAGCTTGGGAAGCTGTCAGGCAGGGCCCAGCACCTGGCAGGTGGGAAAACGCTGGCCTCGGCCCATCCTGTTTTTTTGTAATTTGCTAGAGGGCGCACTTGCCAGAGAGGGACAGAGAGGGACAGAGAGAGGGAGAGGGAGAAGTCACTCCCTAGCAGAATGGCCACCCTGCAATCCCCTCTCCTCTGTCCTCTCAGAATTCTGGCACACACACGTGCCCGATCGTGATTTTCAATCTGCCGGGGTTAGGACTCGGACTCGGACTATGGCTCGAGCAGCCAGCCATGTGGAATCAAGCCGCCCAACCACCAAACCATAGGCTCGCCCCACCTCACCTTTTCTTTCTCCTCAATTTTCCAGGGTTGGCAGGAAGAAAGCGAGAAAGCACCCAGCCGTGGAATGGCCACGCTGCAATCCCTTCTCTTCCGTATCTCCCTCCTTTCAGGATTTTGGGCACTCCTGCACACATGCCTGGCGTGCCCCTCCAGCTGCCAGGTCCAGGACTTGAACCACAGTCAGCCGTGCAGAATCCAGCTGCCCCAACCCTGTCACCTGCCGGCTCCCACCCTGCATGAGAGAGCTCTTTACCTTCACCTCCGTCCAGGCCCCGTCCCGTGCTGAGGCCCATGACCCTGAACAGACTCAGAGGGGTCAGAGGGCAACCAAGAGCACAGGGTTCTGAGCAGGAGGACGGGCTGAGCGGCCTGACTCACCAGGACATCTCGCGCGCCTGCACCCACCACAGTGCCCGGTTCAACGCCTGGTTCTGCGCGGGGGCACAGGGGAGGGCTGGGAAACATGCACATGGAGGCGTGAGTGTGCCGTGCCCAGTAACCCAGCCCCGAGCACTGCTGGCCCCGTCGAGGGGAAACAGGCTCCGGGTGAGGACCCGCGGCTGGGCC